GACAGCAATGTCGAGGATGGATCAGTCTTTTCCTTCTTCTGGGACTAAGATTTTTTATTCTTCACTTCCTTGTGGACACCCTCCTCAGCTGGATCTGAAGCCTTGCTGACGGTATTATTTTGTAATGGTTTCCGCGGCCTCAGGTTCCAGGTCTTGATATCCTCAGTTGCATTTTTGTCCACCTGTGGGGGTGGATTAAGGTTCGGGAGCAGGTGTACTTTTTGGTTTGTTGAGGGAAGTTTCATTTTGATTTTGATTTTTGTTTTAGATTTGGGTGTGGATAAGCAGAATTTGCTCTTATTGTCTGCAAGTGTTCTATTTCTTTCTACAGATTCAGAAGTTGGAGAAACCGCGGCTGAGTGGCTGGCGACAGATTTGCATATTCTTGAGGAATTATATCCCGCCAGCGACAGTTTGGAGACAGATTTTCCTGAAACAGAAGAACCTGCCGCGGCTGCAGTGGAGGAATCGCCACAAAGGGATGGAGTAGATGAATTTATAGCTCTTGATTCCATGGGGCGGCGGCGAGGGGTCCTTCTGGAGAATGTGTGGGGTTTGTTCTTCCACTGCAGCTCTGGCGGGAGAGTAAAATAGTGGAGCTGCAATTGAGGTTTTCCCTGTTGGCCGGAGAAAGACATATCTTGTTCACTGAATTAGATTGGAGAAGAAAAAATTCCAGCTACTGGTTGAAATTACAGAATTTGACTGAAGGTTGAAGAAGAACCAAAAGATGTAGGGCAAAGATTGTTGTATACCTCACTCTTCACCATGAACACGAAATTAAGTATTATTATTTTTTTCATAACCACCAAATTAATTACTATTATTATTATTATTAGAGAGAGGGGAGAGAATGGTAATTAAGAGTGTGGAATAATAATAAAAACAGTCAAAGAACCCCTAAAAAAAACAGAAACTCACAAAAACTCTAGCCGCTCTATCAATCAAAATTGTTCTCCGGCAGCAAAGAAGTAAACAAAATGTTATGTGACATCTGAATCTAGATGAGAACTAGTTTAAGAGCAAAATAAAGAATAGAAACTAAAATCAAAATCAATCTTCACCCAATGAACAACAAACCAGATTTATCTACTGTTAGTCCTCTAAACTTGGTTGCGTTCTTTATTAGTAGGTTTTACCGCTTTTTACTATTTACATTTTTTTTTCCTTAAAACAATATCACATTAAACAATTATTTTTCTTTTTATATTATACTACATATTTATTTTACATTCAAAACATCACATCAACCTCTGTTTATATGATATCAAACAATTATTCAAATTCAATTTTTTACCATTAAAAAATCCAACCCAAAAACTAAAACTCACAAACAAACACCGTTACTGTCTTTGGGTTTCCTAGAAATGCTTTTTCCACCAAGAAGTTAGCTTTATACATGGATAAATTTACCCAAAGATGCACACCATAATAAAGGCACAATGAAATAACAAAATGCACATCATTCCCCTAAACACGCAAATGAAATCTCCCCCATGAGAAAAAATTCCGAGATCTCTCGGTCAACCATGTCATCAGCTACGGTCACCTTCTCTGAGTAAGCACGACAACCTTCATCTTAGTCTTCAATAATTATTTCAGCCTTCATCCGTCATTCAATTGACGTTACGTTGAGCTACGTAGTGTGGTAAAATATGTATTCGATTGTAACTTGTATCTACAAAAATATATTGTCCACATTTTTCTGATAAGTTCCAACAATAGGTATCAGAGCATTTCCGTGTTGAATTATTGAGATATATTATAAGATAAATAAATCTTTAAACGGTCCCATTCAATCAACGCATGAGAGACCAAATTTATTTATTTGATTTTGGATTGATTGATTAATCCAGGCGTTGGTGCGGATCTTGAATATTTTAATTAGATAAACTAATTGATTAATTGAAGTTCAATTAAGATGTGTAGAAATCAGCCATCCTGTCTGTGTTGTCATTGAATTTCAGAACAAACACGAATCCATGCGCATTAAAAAGGCTCTGCATGAATCCATATATTATTGGAATTAAATTGTTGGGGTTTGTTTGTTTACTTATTTATTTATCTTGATCACTGCGCGATTTTGGCATCTAGATTAATTTACATGTTTGATCAAAATTGTTCGCATCGAGACACACATTACTTTTGTTGCACAAATTGATGTCTATTTTTTTTAATACTATTAATAGATGTCCGTTGCAATTAGACGATTTGATGTCCATTTAGATTGCTTGCAATTTTTCGTTCATGAATTGTGGTGTCCTAATTGGATTAATTAATGGAATAAAATATGTGTGGACATTTCGTGCAATCATGTTCGTATGTTATGATTGAAATCAATCATCTAATCGTGTAAATCGGATGCATACTTTCAGCTGCATTTACGAAATGATTTATTTCCGCCAAAATCATTATTACATATATATAATATTTTATGAATCAAAGCAGCCATATTAGATTATGAATGTGATTGTGTATCTGCATTTGTTCATTTGTATACATGTTTGCATGCATGTGTACTATGGTAAATTAATTATGTGTAAAATTATGTTTATGCAAATATGTTAAAATTCATGTTGATTGAAGTTCAATTTATATGCATCTGGTTGGAGGATTGTTAACCAAATTGGTTAATTAATGTAGGCATATTAATGTATACTAAAAGAAAATATCAATTTTGTAACAAGGGTTTTTAGTCCCTAAATGTATTTTTTCTGTTACTAATATTAGAGACGGAATTAGTTTGAAACTTTGGCAAACAAGCTTTTTATCCCATTACTTGGACTTTAGCATTCCTTATGAAATTACATTAACACAGTTCTTCAATCCATGTTGTAAGACTATGAAACTTACTGTGCAATTTGTTCATAGTGAAAGATGAATATCACTTATCGAATGTAACAAAGATTAATATTTGAATTATTTAAGAAAGTACGTTTTGAATAACTATTGGCTTTTAAAAACTATCTTAAATTAGTGTATTTTGACAAGTTATTCTAATTTTCCATCAACTATCAACACAACATGTTGCACAGGATTTGAAAATCTCCATATAGAGAGATAATCAGGGAATATTTGTCAAAATAACAAAAATTATTATCAACAAAATCAAGAATACAAATACCAATAACGCACCTTAAAGTTTTGAACTAAAATTATTTATCTAAACAAACTTATTGTAATTGCGAGAGGAATTGAATCGTTCTCTACCAAGCTCGTCGGCATAATCTGCTGGTTGGAGTTACTTAAGTTTTAGGGTGGCATTGCTACTGCGCTTCTCCCCATTGAAATAGAAACTGAATAAGGCTCAACAATTGATACTCTAATTGCTAAGTCAAGAGGGTTAAAGAGAATTTGATTCAATAGATCCTCAAAAGCTAAAGAACATATCAATTTGAAAGATACATTATGCACCGATAATAATATATTCAACACCAATCACCAGTAACATGTAACTCAAAATCTGTAGTTCCCACCTAATAAAAAATGCCTCTTCTAATATAAAAAAAATATGATTTTTCCCAAACCCTAGATTGAATTAAAACTACTCGAAATTGTTAATATACATTGCGATTTCTTCACCCTTGGTGGCGAATTATTATTCTTCATAGTGGCGAGGTTCTCACGGGAAATGCACGGCTGAACGACCGCAACACTTATACCCCAAACACGATTTTAATCATGTTTTAAAAATAAACACGTTTTATTCTGAATTGTTTAATTCATGGATTTTTTTTTTCAAAATTTCATTTTTTTATTAAAAAAAATTATTTTGAATTCTTTTAACTTTTTTTACGATATGAGTACCGCAATAAATGATTTTTGAACGACTTTCCATAATTTTTGCTAATTGAAACGGTAAAATGTTCGGGACAAAAAATTTCATAGTTTGACCAAGAAATTTACTCTTTGCTACGACAAATTTCATAACTAAGAATATTTTTTACTAATGATGTTATATGGTCAAGATTTGTATAAAGATTCATAATTAATGTTTGTAATTAATGCAGTGTTACTTTTTTTCTTACTTGAATTAAAATTATTACTAAAAAGTTTTCTATTCAAATTTACAATATTATCCTCGTTCATTGATATCCATTGGATGGATCAATAAATCTGATCCTATGGCTATATGAAAAATAAGTAGTGTGCTGACAGTTTTATAATATGAGTACTGTGAAAGCAGCCGTTAGCCTGACGGTAACTGATAGCCGTCACATGTTATAAATAATTAATATATTGATATTGAGAACGTATTTTAAAAGATAAAATTGACAGTTCCATTTTATGTTTGGCTTGCCATTGCCATTTTGAAAAGTGAAATACTTTGGTTTTGTTAGAGCATGTGCAGTGGCTTTTCTATTCAAGACTTCTCCCATAAGTAAACCTTTTTTATATTTCATGTTATTTTAGAATTTAAAACTTTTTGATATTATACTCTCTTGTCGGTGTTCTTAAGGTATATATTTTATTATTTTTTTGTTCAAAAGTAAAATTTGATATCTATATCACATTTTAAATCAATACAACTTGATATCAATTTTTTAGCATACAAAAGTGACCAAAATCCCTCTATTCTAAAACATGAGATCTTTAAAACCCGAAATAAAAAAAATAATAAACAACAACAACAATTTGCAAACCCAAAGCAAAAGTTCTCTATTATTTTTGAAGTGTGTTTGTTGGATTTCTTGTCCAAATGGATCCATCCCATATAATAGACAAACACACTCATTCTCGCAAAGAAAGTGCACCTGGGCCCAGACCTATGACACAGGCCCACGATCCACTTACTTACCTTGGCCTGTGGCCCACTGTTTCACCCTTGCCCGCGAACTTGTGACGCGTACCACCGGACCCGCCTGTTTCGACCCGGGTCTCTTTTATTAAACTAGATCTCAACCGTCAAATCTAGGGTTGAGATCATGGCCGTCCATTCCTTTTAACCTACGTATATAATGGAGATGAGAAAGACCGCCGTCCCTCACTTCACTTTCATAATCTTCTCTCTACAACTTACCCTCTCTAGCCTCTCATCTCGTCTCTCTCTCGCAGCACTTTCCGGCGACGATTTTTCGGCGGGTCTTCGAGGTTGTCTTCCTCCTTATCTGTGGAGCTCTTTGCCATGTGTTTTTACCCCCTGTGTTGTTGATTTTAGCCGCAAGGGGCTCTCTCAACGTGTAGGCTTTTGTTTACCGTGTTTCCTTGTTTGTGGGGGTTATATTTCTTGTGTGTCGTAGGTAATAGCCCAGTGTACTTGTGTTCGTCGCGTTTTTGGGTGTGTTTGTGTCGATTTTGTGTTTTCGATTTGGTTTGGAGTTGTGCCTACAAAAACCATAACTAGTTCAATATTTTTACTTGATTTCGTAATAAAATCCTCGATCCATAATAAAGTGAGATCTGCTCATCCACATCCAAATCTAAAACAAAAGTCAAAATCAAAATCAAAATCAAACTTTTGATAGTTCATAAAGGTGATTTGTAGTTCATAAAGGTTTCTTATGAATTTGTAAATTTTTTTTATCGACTGATGGCTGGTTTGATATTGCTAAATCTGTTTTCCAGGAAAGTGCTGTGGCTGTAAAAGATCGTTGCGATAAAGCAGGAAAACTTGCTGGCAACCGCTTCTCTTTCCGCTATAATGAGCTCCACAATCACCATACACCGAAACAAGGATCTCCTCTTCGATCTCCTTGAAAAATGGTGCGAGACTACCAACTCTTTCGTTTTCCTCTGGGGAGAAGCTACTCTGACGCTCGAGGACTTGGCGGTGCTCGGCGGATACTCTGTGTTGGAGGAAAGGGCGCTGCGCGCTTCTGAAAGGGGCGAATTAGGGGAAATCGAGAAGAAACTGCGCAAAGCGCGGTCGGTGATTTCTAGATGCAAGTCGAAGAAGCCTATGGTGGGGCCATGGATGGAGAAATTCATGGGTAGCCAGAGCGAAATCGAGCACGAAGCGTTTCTCATGTATTGGCTTTCGAGATTCGTCCTCCCCATTGCTTCTGGCATCGTTAATGGAGATGTGCTCTCCATCACCGCTCGCTTGCGTCGAAAGGCTAAAATAGCTCGTCGGACTCTGCTCCGACCCAACGGTCTGTCTGTATCTCTGTTCTTATCCTGAAGTAGAAGTGAACACTAATGTTTTCTGAAGCTATTTGATCCCTTCATCCGTTGCTGAATATTTTCTGGGATGGACAGGCATAGTTTTTTCACGAAGATGGAGGACGAGAGCAGCCAAGACAGCACCAGTCCTGTCTTGTTTGTGCACACAAAGCCTAAGGATAGCACGCAAAATAATAAAGTTATGGTATGTTGCATGTTGGCTGTTCCTGTAAAAAAATTTTTGGTGGATTGTTGCTAGACACAAATCATCATCTATCTTATTGGTGCTAGATTTATTTGTCACTTTGTAGAAGAATGACGTAAATTTAGAAGAATGACATAAAATTGACTACTGTTAATGAAGATGATATATAAAACCACAAATATTTTTATGTTTACTGTTATATACATAAAAAAAGTAATGAAAAAATGGCAATGAAAAAGAAGTGATTATGGTTGAAAAATATATTTGCGTTAAAAATCACTGAATATTATTGTTACTAATTACAATTGCTAGGAATGTTGGTGGACTAACGATCGTAAAAATATTGAAACATTTAAATATCGTTTGTTGGTTGATTTTATATTACTATTGGGTCATCTGGGCCCACTCTCATGGCCCTGAACATGTATATAAACATATATATATATGTATAAATTAAAATGTATAAATGTATGTATAATGTTAACATATAAATATATATATTAAAGTTTGTTTTTGTGTTTGATCTTGAGTTTTTTATTTAGATTTTAATTTAAATATATTAACAAGCTATTTTTCACCCAAACTACAATATATCATTTTCTTATCTTGAATGAAAGCACCTGAAATGAATTTAGTTTCGGAAACATGTTGGTGGTTTTCAAAACTTATAAAAACCTTAATAGATTATGATATGTATCAATGGTGGTGGTTCTCGATCCAAAAGATATTATGTTTCATTGCCTATTGTTGGGGACTCCCGTTTGCGGGATATGTAACTAATGGCTTAGTTTCCTTAACAAGTTCGAGCTTTTAGGTGAGACGGTCATTAGCTTCCGACATGGTATCAGAGCCTAGGTTAGGTCTCGAGTTCGAGTCCCGCCCGTCCCTATTAGCTTCCGACACCTATAAAAGCAAATACTTTTTAAAATTATTTTATAGTTCATATTTTATTGGTTCCAATAAAAATGTTTAAATTTAATTTTTTCTATAAAAATTCATGTCAATATTTCAAAATGTATATTTATAAAGAGAAGGAACTCTAACGTGCGTTAATTGCAATATTGTTTCATTATTATTATTATTATTATTATTAATTGATTATTGTTCATTACGATGATATATAAAAACCTATAATATTTGTATGTTTAATGTTATATACATAAAAAAAAAAAAAAAAAACTATAAAATGACAAAGGAAAAGAAGTGACTATTGTTGAAAAATATATTTGTTTTAAATGTCACCAACTAAATTATTGTTACTAAGTACAATTGTTATAAAAGTTGGTGGACTACCGTCATTAAATATGAATGAATTTAAAAATATTAGTTTCTGTGTTTTAGTTTTGTTGGTTGGCTTTATATTGCTGTTGGAGGGCCAATGGCCATCTGGGCCCTTGACCATGGCTCCGAATATTTAGACTCTTCAGAGTGTTAATTAAATAGATATATATTTATATATGTATATAAACACGTAAATAATATTAAAATATATATTAAATTTTGTTTCATTGTGTTTAAAGTTGAGTGTTTTGTTTAGATTTTAATTTATACATATTAACAAGCTATCTTTCACTCGAGCTACAATATACCGTTTTCTTATTATGCAAGGGTGTATGACCATTCACGATGGTAAAATGAAAGCACCGGAAATGGATGTAGTTTTGGAAACAATGGTGGTGGTTCTTCAAGACCAATAAAATCCTTAATAGATTTTGATATATATCGTTGGTGGTGGTTCTCGATCCATAAGATATTTTGTTTCATTAGCTATAATATCAAAGGCTTTTTGGAATTTACTTTTAAAAAATATATCTTATGATTAGTATATTGGTTAAAAGATTTTTGAAATACAACTCCTATACAATGCTTCAGCTGGTGTGTTCATGAGTTAAATCAACATGGTAATGATTTGAATTAATCAACAAATATCTACAAAAAAAAATGTAGCAAATATTAATATAATAATATAATATATATAGCATATATTTTAATAGCATAATATATAATTACATATAACATAATATATATTTTGATTTCAGCCCATTATATTATGATTTTATCAAAATAGTAACTTGACTCTATCAACAAATATTTATAAAGAAAGTAACAAATATTAAAATAATATATATAGCAACACAATATATATGATATGTCTTATGATAAAATGTCAATTACTTCAAGTTAATGTACTATATTATCTGCTTTGTAACGGATTACTAATTGTTTCGGGTTGATTTAGTAATTTGATCAAATTAATATGGTAACCTCGTCAGCACCCTAACTACAGCTCATAAACGAAACATTGAATGGTATTATTATTATTATTATTATTATTATTATTATTATTATTATTATTATTATTATTATTATGTATTCCAAGTCTATTAAACATCTATTATCTACTATAATTTTTAATATATCAAATCATAAAGTCTTTAAATGAAAATTCTAAAATAAAGTAAGAAAGAATATTATTGATATTATACTAAATTTGTAATATGGTTAATGATAGCATAGGTGGATGTCCTAAATATGATTTTGTTAACATATTATTAGAATACATTTTATAAATGAAAATTTTATTGGTAATAGTATTGTGGTAATCATCATCGTCACCATTATTATTATTATTATTATTATTATTATTATTATTATTATGTAATTGGCAATATGAAGAAATCATCGGTTAGCAGAACAATATTTTTTGAACTGTTAGTGTCACTTTCATAATAAATTAACTATCTCTAATCATTATTATTAGCATATAATTTCATTTAGAATGAAATATACTGCTTTTCTTACAGTTGTTTATACATAAGTACTTGAATTGCTACCGTAAGTGAGTATCATAAAAATACATTCTTTTCTCTTCTTCTTCAAATCTTCACTGCAAATTAGTCTTTACAATTTGCAATCTCCTTATCAATTTCTCTAAATTTTATCTCGAATTCATTGAAGAAACAAATCTTCTCTGTTTTAGAAAAAAGAAAAAACTCAGCTGTCGCCATTGCCATCTCCATCCGAGCAAACACTCCTCATAGGAAGCTGACAATTACAGTCACTCTGAGCAAGAAGCAAGTCAAAGAAGATATTATTCTGATGACCGTAAGGAGACTTTCTCAGCACCCCAAGAAGAGGACAAAGCACCTTAAAAAAGATATGGAGGTACCCTTATTTGATTCTAATTTTCTTTCCATGACTATCTTTTACCTATTGTGACTGATTTCATTATTTTATATTATCTGTTAGAGAAATAATCTGGATTGAATGAAAATAAGAAGAAATCGAATTCGGCAGGGTATATATGATATTGGATATACTTTGAGTCGCATAAATTCGCCTTTCTTATACGATATTTCGACCCTATTAACGCCTCGGGTTACAACTAATCCGTACGAGATAAAACAAAGCAACGCTCGAATTTTAGGCGAAAAATCAAGCAAGTGAAAGGTTGGGAGATTATTTGCATATTAAGAATATATTTTCCAATATCCTGAAGAAAGAAGAGACATGACAGTATTCTGCGTGACTTTCTCTGTCACTCTCACACTTTTCTTTACCTGTGAAGACAAATATATTAATATAATTGAAAGTGTCTTCTCTAAAAAGATTTGAACAATTTTAAATCGAAAAGACACAATATGCAACTTTAATTTTTAATTGAAAAGATTCAATCTATTTATTAAAGTTATCAATTCAAATTTAAATTTGAATTTATAAGGTTTTATAGAGGAATTAATTTAATTCCTCGTTTGAAAATAATAATTTTTAAACAATATGTACCATAATTTTCTCCTTCATATTATTTCACACTTCGTTCCTGCGCGACCCTTCCCGAAGATAGCTCAGCTCCATAAGGCATTCATTATCTTCGAATAAATCCAATAACAGCAAAATAACCAACATTATCTTCGTTCCAGATTTTGTTTCCGGAAGGATTCTTTACAACCATTGTTAATATATAGGAAGCTAGGTTTAAGTCCCATGGCCTCTCCTTTCTTCATTGCAGATTTCATTAATTTTTATTATTTTCATTGCATATTCTAATGTGTTTTTATTTATCATATGTAGTATGGTCATTGTCCTATCTTTCTCTCTCTGTTTTTTTTTTTTTTTTTTCTTTCTTTTACTTTGTCTTTTTTCATTTTTAATTTTTATCGTGAAAATTATTTGTCATTCTTTGTTGTTTGTATTAATTACTTATACAATGTGATGACTTTCGATGAAGGTCAAGCACGGACATGGATATCAATGTAAAGTTCTCGGCTGCTGAAACATTAGAGCTTACCTAGGAGTATCAATTTGCTCTTGTTAGGAAATTTTCACACAGATATGGGTCGTGGAAAGAGCTTCTTTTGTCGTTTGATAATCTTAATCTTGTTTGACAATTATCAATCGGCAAATTGAATTACAAACAATTGGCTATTTCGCTAAGTGTCGGGAGTGGAGGGTTTTTCTATGTGTCACGTTATTTACAGTAGTAGAAATCTAGTTGCGATTTCTATGATGTGGCAATGTTGTTATTTTATTTTATTTTTTATATTTTTCCTTTTTCATCTCACATATAATGCCATAGCGGTAAGTTCCAATATCGAAACCGACTTCAAGAAGTAACTAGTACACATTGCTAGTAAGCTTTTGGGCTAAGTGGAAAAGATAATAAAAAATTCATTATTATTTGTTATGATATGAGTAATAAAATTATGAATGTATAAATTTCTTTAGTACAAATCATTAGAAACAAATTTAGCCAACAACCAAAAAAGATTACTAATGTAATTTTGGCGGATGAAAGAAGTGTATTTTTATTGGAAATGATTGATAGTGTATTTTATGTATGTTTAGTGAAAGTGAAAAAGAAGAAATAATTGGAAATGAAAACACAAACAAACACAAACATTTGCAAAAATAATATGGAAATCAAGATAGAAAATTACACATATAACACAATGATAACAAATCAATTGATAAATGAATACAGATTTGTAATATTCAACAGCAAATGAAACCCATTCATCTTAAGTTCCC